ACTCCAGTCTGGGCGACAGAGTGAGACTCCAACTCAAAAAAAAAAAAGAAAAAAGAAATGAAGATATGAGTGATGAAGATGACCTAGTTTACCGGACTCCAAATCGTCTATTGAGTCAGTGCATTCTCACGAAAGTAATTCAAGCAAATTATCATTTGCCCACTGGGTTGAGACCTGATCACCTGTGCCCAACCTTCAGCCCAGCCAAGGGCTTTGGTCCAGCCAGGTAGATCAAATTTGCCCTTCAAGCCGGGCTCAGTGGTTCAGCCTGTAATCCCTAGCTTGGGGAGGCTGAGGTGAGTGGATTGCCTGAGCCCGCAGGTTCGAGACCCACCTGGGCTACTTGGCGAGACCTCATCTCTACAATAAATCAAAAACTAGCTGGGTGTGGTAGCGCACGCCTGTAGTTCCAGCTACTTGGAAGGCTGAGGCTGAAGGATCACCTGAGCCCAGCAGGTCGAGGCTGCGGTGGCCGGGAGCAGCCACTGCACTCTAGTCTGAGCGACAGAATGAGACTCCAACTCAAAAAAAAAAAAAAATTTGCACTTTAGCCTCCACCTTCTGCCGGCTAGGAAAAGAAAGACCCAGAAGGTGGGAAATAAGGAGTTTTGTTTTGTTTTCTCTCTTCTTTCCTTTTAAAAAATTTTTATTTTAGTTGCCGTCTTGCCCAACCCTCCTTTTTTCTTTTTTTGAGTTGGAGTCAGTGGCACAATCATGGCTCACTGCAGTCTCGACCTCCTAGACTCAGACAGTCCTCCTGCCTCAGCTTCCTGAGTACCTGGGACTACTACAGGCGCATGCCACCATGCCTGGCTAATTTTTACATTTTTTTTGGAAAGGCGAGGTCTCGTTATGTTGCCCAGACTGGTCTTGAACTCCTGGGCTCTAGTGATCCTCCCGCCTTGGCCTCCCAAACTGCTGGTATTACAGGCATGAGCCACTGTGCCTGGCTAGGAGTTTCCGTCACACCTGTCTCCAAAGGCTGTGCCTCTTGGTGACATAAGCTCTCTTCACAGTTCCCTTGGACAGTGCTGCCATGCTTCTCCATTTATCCCACCTATGTTTTCAAACGTTCAACTTTATTTATTTATTTATTTATTTTGAGTTGGAGTCTCACTCTGACACCCAGACTGGAGTGCAGTGGCCGCTCCCGGCCACCACAGCCTTGACCCACTGGGCTCCGGCGATCCTTCCGCCTCAGCCTTCCAAGTAGCCGGAATTACAGACATGCGCTACCACGCCCGGCTGATTTTTTGATTTATTGTAGAGATGAGGTCTCGTTGCCCAGGCAGGTCTCGAACCCGCGGACTCAGGCAATCCACTCACCTCAGCTTCCCAAAGGCGCGGGATTGCAGGCTGAGCCACCGAGCCCGGCTAACGTTCAACTTTTATTGGAAGCCTGTGGGCTAGAATCTTCGCATACTCGGTCTCCAGTGGGGCCGATGCCAGGTTGGGGGTGATCCTGCTCAGTCCTGGAGAAGGGCAATGCTGACAGCTTCTGATTTCCTGCAGATCCGAACTCTGGGGTACTGCTGCCAGCTGGTCGGTGGGATCCTGGTCGAACAATGTCCTGCCAGGTCCGACGTGGGGACACGCCTGCTGGTGGTGTCCTCCCAGCTCAGCCACTGCAGGACCGTCCTGCGACTCTTTGATGACCTGGCTATGTTCATCTACACTAAGCACTATGGCCTGGGGGCAGAGGTAACAGGGGTTCTTGGAACTGCAGGGAGTGGGATGCAGATCTCACGAAGCCTGAGGCTATGGCCCCTGTGGGCACCTTGTTTTAAGAGACGGGATCTCACTCTGTCACCCAGGCTGGAGTGCAGTAGTGCAATCATAGCTTGCTGCAGTCTTTAATTCCTGGGCTCAGGTGATTCTCCTGCCTCAGCCTCCCGAGCATCTGAGAGACTACAAGCACATGCTACCACGCCCGATTAACTTTTTTCATTTTTTGTAGAGATGGAGTCTTGCTATGTTGCCCAGACTGGTTTCGAACTCCTGGCCTCAAGTGAGCCTCTCACGCAGGCCTTCCAAAGTGCTGGGATTACAGGCATGAGCTACTATGCACGGCTCATCAGTGGCCATTATCTAGTCTTGTCCCTGAGTGCTCTCTGTGTGGGCAGTAATTACTTTTTAAAATCTTACTTTCTTTTTTGAGCAAATCAGATGTTCTCTCTTTAAAACATTTAAAAATAGTGAACTTGTTCATACAGTCTAAAAGAGTGTATAATTTAAGAAAATTCCCTTTCCCAATCCCCCAGTTCTCCCCCTCAGAGGCCACCTGTAGTCAGCTTCTTCAACCTATTTTGTGAGATTCCCTGAACCTACACAGGCAAATACATTATTGTTCACATAAAGAATGCTTTTTTTTTTTTGAGTTGGAGTCTCACTCTGTCACCCAGACTGGAGTGCAGTGGCCGCTCCTGGCCACCGCAGCCTCGACCTGCTGGGCTCCGGCGAT